GTTGCTCGATATCTAAGAAATGTGTGAAATATGAATACAATTCTTCCATTACCCAAAAACGCCTGCCATTGTGAACAATGCCTACGCAGTGTTCATAATTCCGAATTAATTAATTATTTAAATTAATTATTTTAATTTTCATACCTGTGTCTTGGATTATATTTCGTATTATGAGGCTTAAATGTACTATGAGGGGTAATTCGATTCATTGTAAAAACACTTGACATATCGAAATAAGCAGGACTTGCTGGCCCCCAAGGCATCATTCCAGCAGGGTAAAAAGGTTGATGCTAAATAAATTAAAGAAAAAAGAATAAAAGAAAATAATGTATATGTATATTTACTAAAGTAGCTTATTTAGATTTTGATATATATTACAGTTATCTACATACGTTTATTTATGTTCCTTTAAGCAGTAAATGTTATTTATACTCACATAAACATGAACCTGATTAGCATAAGGTGGCAAAGTAGTTTGCGGTATAGTGGTACCGTTTGGATATAGGAAGCGTTGTTGTCCAGCCGTATAATTACTTGGATCATAAACGGGTGGAGGTGGTGGAGTTCTATAACCATTTTTAATGCCACCTACCCCAGCAACAACAGGTATTGGTAACCTATTCATTGGTTTGGCTTTGATTCGAGCCATTATTGGCTTTCCCTGATTAAAAAGTGCATATGATAGTTAAATTTGGACTAAATGCATTGTTGTCACATAAATCAAATTTTTCTTGTTCAAATATTTAAAATAAAAAAAAAAGAGAGAGAGAGAGAGAATAAAACAAAAGAAAAAATAAATATATAGAACTATTTATAGAGGAGGAATAAAGAAAGGTAAAATTTACCTGAAATTCTCGAACTTCTTCACGTAAAAACCTATAGGCCTTTTGAGCATCCTCGTCAGATTCAAATGTTACATACCAAGAGCTATTATGAGCAAACTCGCAAGAAATAAACCTTGGACATCCTTCACCAGAGAATAAATTCTAGAATTGTAGTTAGAGAATAGTATTAAATCTAATTTTCCAAAGATTTTATATGTATAATGTGAAAGATCAACAAAAAATTATAGATTAGTATTCAAACTTGTTGAGATAAATTGACATTAATTATATAGAACTAACCTTTACTTCTTCCAATGGTGTACTATCAGGTATTTCACGCAGAATGACAATACACCGCTTATGATTAGGTCTTACTTTTTGACCTTCTTCGTCCACTTGAACGTTTGGAGACTCTCTTAACACCTCTGTTATAAGTTTTATATCTTTTGTTAGTTTCTTCACTTGATTGAAATTAGCTACTGTCCATATGGGTACATATTGGTCATTATCCATTTGTGATAATAAATATGTATCGTTGGCTAAATTCTCTCTATAATAATTCATTATCACAATATATATTACATCATTTAATATGATTAACAAACAATTGGTATTGATATATGATTTTTTACTATTACTATAATATTAATATTATAAAATAAATACGATTAAAATACCTGGAAAAATAATATTCAAGCTGAGAAGAGAGCATTTGTTTGAGTTGATCCATAGGTATGCCAGAAGCAGACAGATCTGCCATCGTGTTTGAAGGAGTAGACACATCACCTAGTGTTGCAACATCTACACGATTATATCCTACTGCGCCTGCAATATCTATGCTATGCTGTGCTGAAGATTCCAATAAATTAACACCTGCATCAAGGATTAATTCATTTCCACTTTGTGTTTTATTCATAATGTCATATTCTGAATTAAATACATTACCTTCGATAGCAATTGTAACTGGACCCAAAGTTTCAGGGGTGGTTGGATAAACCGCCCCTGGTGGGAGCTTCCCAATGTCCCCATTCATGTACACGTTCCCTAAACAGAATAAAATCAATTTTAATATTAGAGATGTAAATTAATAAAATTATATGAGATTTTACTAAAATTAATTCTTTAATACTTACATTATTAATATACTTTTTTTTATCAATTTAATATAATCGAATAGATTATTTAATATGTCTGCAGTAAAAACTTTACTCGATAAAGGAAACTACGACATAAGATTTAAAATATCTCATAATTTATACAAAAAGATAGCAATATATATATAAACTTCGTTGAAAAAATTGGTGAAAAAAAAAAAAAAGAAGAAAGAAATTGTATAAAAGAAGAATAATAAGAATATTATAATACAATATAATAAAAATAATAATTACATCATCAAAACAAAGAAAAAAAGATTTCTAATTACAAACTCCACTAGAAATTACACTTTGGATATGTACGTATGTGTGTAAAGAATGTGTATATGTAATTGTATGTGTAATTGTGTGTTTAAATAACCTTAAAAGTGGAACTTACATGTGGAGATATATAAAACATTTATATAAAGCAAATACTATTATATAAAATATTTTTACAATATTATTACTTTTACTAGCTAACATATATGCTACTTCTTACTATAGCTTTTCAATATTATATATATATATTGCCATTATCGTAATATATTAAGAAAAAAAGAAAATTGAAATATTATTACATTTGTCAATGATGATGAAAGAAGAAAATATCTATCTTATTTAAAATATGTAACAAATTTCCATTATTAATAATACACAATTGTCACTAATATATAAATGAATTTAAAACAAATTGCTTAAACATCTGCTGCATCATACATTGTACTGCCACTGACCAGATAGTAGAGAGAAACGAGAAAAGGGGGAGGTGGAAGAGAGAGGGAGGGGGGAGAGAGAGAAAGAAAGAGAGAGAGAGAGAGAGAGAGAGAGAGAGAGAGAGAGAGAAAGGAAGATAGAAAGTATAGGAAAATGTCAACTTCGAAAATGTTTCCCCATTAATAAAATATTTAATTGCTAGAGTAAATTTCTAATTACCAATGAATTTAACATTACACAAAATATAAAAATAGTAGAAATATAAGACTAATCCGAAATGATTTCAAATTGAGAGTTAAGTGATGAAAGAGAAAGAGAAAGAGAGACAGAGAGAGAAAGAGAGACAGAGAGAATGTAAGGTAGAGGAGAGGTAAGCACATGCTAAAATTTCAGAACTCTTATTGAAAGTTTCTATACTACTGTCATGCGTATAGATTCGAACGTCACATTGTATCCTTTTGATATAGCTCTTCGGAAATGGTTGCGGAATAAAAAGTAAAAATGTATAAAAGGTAAGATATGCAATATGTTGGAGACGACTGGCCAAATATAGAGTGAGATGCTGGCCGGGCGAACGAGCACGCAGGCATGTACGGATCGTAATCATTCGCGTAGTACACTTTTATATATCATAGATCAATAATGAAATCACTATTAATCGTAAAACAATACCGAATATAATATATCTTTATCACTTAATACTTTTAGGAAGGTTCGTTTACTGGTTCATATAGTCGGGGATGTAAGTACATACCGTGATCACACACAGAACACTCTGTGTGCTAAAAACGAAATCTTATTTCACGTTAAAACTAATAAAAATTTCTTTTTTTCGTTTATCTATTCTATTATTATTATCTATATCATTCGGATAAATGTAATTAACGCCATTTGGCAATTTAACAAAATTCTTACCAAGAGGAAGAATCAACTCAACACACAATTTCTCAAGGAAACTACAAAATGGCTGACATAGAAAGGCACATGCCGTGGTTCAGGGTATTATGGGTCGTTAGTATGTATCTATGTAGTTCGACGAAAGTGATATCTATCGGTTATTTCAACAAAATTCCTCGTTTCCCCGCTAAAGTCAAACTGATTAGACTATTCCATTTTGGATGACGATATTTATTATATTATTTACGTCTATTCACATCCAGGTATTTTCTCGTTTCTAGATCATTATAAAGGGGCGAGATATGAATTTAATCTAATGTTAAAATTATATTAAAATTAACACATTATTATATACGATTTGATAGAGAATATTTTTGTACAATTTCCATTTAAGCCAAAATTTACTCCATAATATTTGACCGATTTTCTTTTTCCATCCCTAATTTTGTAATGATTATCAAATTTATCATTATTTAATATTATGTAATTATATATTGAACATTTATCTAGATATTTTACATTAATTCTGTATTAAGTTCATTAATAAAGATATACCTATAGATCCCCTATAAAATTTAGATACATATTTTAATGTTTAAACATTTAAGAATTTTAGGTTGCGTAATATATAAAATGGCGTACAATTTTGTAATAAATTATAAATGTAATAGGACTTGATAAAAAATGTATATACATATATATATATATATATATGTATATATACGATAAAAAACTTTAACGAAAATGTTCCAAGATGAATATGTTCGTACGTCTAGATGTACATTTTATCGACTACAACAATAGTACTCATCTAGTGCGCCAGATGTCGCGACAAACTATATTTACGAATGTTACGCCGTGTTTGATTATTTGTTAAATTTGTATTTATTACTGTAATAAGAATATAGAGATCTTATCATCAATAAATATTAAAAATTAAATATAATCGTTTTTAATAATCAATATAAATAAGTAATGATGGTTTTTATTTTTTTGTTTTGTTTACATGAATTCATTTCTTTGCAATCTATGATGTAACAGTTACTTTGTTTTGTCGCTAATCACGTAACATTAAGTATTATATTATACGTACTCATAAAACTGAAAAGTATTATTAGTGCTTCTAACGAGAGATCTTTGAAAGAAATGGAAAAAGCAGCTTCTAACGATAATAGAAATGGAACACGAAGAAGTAATTACTTTAAAAAAATCATCGATGATTCAAGTAAATATACATGTATCGTATGTACATATAATTTGTTTTTCCTCCTTTTTCCAGAATTAAAGTAACTAAAATAAGATCTATTTCTAAAAGTTACAACTTCTGTGTTCATATAACATAAGATATTATATTAATGTTCATATTATTTAACTAGATTAATTATTCCTTATTTAATTTCTGTTTTTTTGATTGAATGGTAGCGTCGAGTTTTGGTTGAGAACTTGGAATGATTTCATCCAAATCATCTATTAAATTTAATAAATTTGAAATAGATACTGCATTTGATCTTTTAATATCATTGTGTGATACCATTTTAATATTTGTTGTAATACTATTTTTGTAATTGCTAGTAGAAGCGATTTTGTTTCCATTATTGGTTAATGTTATTTCAGATTCGTGTAGAGCCAGAAAACTAAATCTTTTTAATCTTTCTAAAATGGTCATAGGAATAGCGCTACAAGCTAAATCATAACTTTCTTTTATTTTATTTTTATATTTATTGATATTAGAAACCTGTAAAAAAAAGAAAGAATTCTAAGTATATAAATTATAAATAATAAAATTGCTTATTTATTTAATATTTAGTCATATATTATATGCATTGTAATATTTTATGTATATACCTTTTTAAGAAATACATTATTCTTGTCGATAGAAAAGGGTTTAATACTTTTACATTTAACCCACGAATGTGTCAATTCATTCAGATCAAAAAATACTACGTGATATTTAACCTATAATTACAAATACATACAATTAATATAATGTGTTCAATTTAAACTTAAAACAAGATACACATGTCTATGCATATTTATAAAAAACTTTTATTATTATGAAAGAAAATTGTTTCTGTATTTATATATATATATTTGTTTATATTTACGCTTACAGGAATTATAGAGTTTTTTTTTAATTCATAATATCTAAATTTAATAGGACAATCATCCACTATCGCAGGCCACCATAAGTAAGTATTTTTTTTTGCCCATACTATACTTCCAGCGTTATATTTATTTTCTATTAAATCTCTTTCTATTTCTTTGGATTTAGGTTCTTCTGGAATAGTACATGACGCTAGTTTTACATCTACAAAATAAAATATTTTAATTCTAGTATTATATCAATGAGTTAACAAATTTTATAATCTCTTTAAGATTTTGAGAAATTTATTTACCAGAATTCATTTCGCAGAACCATATAACAGGTACATCTGTTGGATCATGATAATCTGTGGTATATCTCCATTTTTTACAATTTTTTCTACAACATTCTATCCACAAACCTATGTCTCGACGTGGTTGTAACCATTGTAATTTATCCTTCCATGTTCCGTTGCCATCGTATTGAGACAATATCTGCATACTATGATCATTCTCTTTGTTACCCAAATCATTTATTTTATATTCTAAAATACAATAAGATTTTTCTTTTTTGAATTAACAAATTTTTAATTACCAACGATCACACTATGCACTGATACAAAGCGAATGAAATGTTTAAATTTTGTTTTGTTAAATACTATTATATTGTTTAATGGAATATAAATATTTACAATACATTAAATTTTCTATGTGAAATTAAGACAATATGTAGATAAATATATTTTGTAAATATCTTTTTATAAGCATTGATATATTTTGTTATATACGTAAATGATTAATATCATTTCTTATGTTAATACCTTTTCTCTCACTAAAGTTTGCTTTCTTTTTATTACAATTAATTGATTTTTTATTACATATAGCTTTTGTTGTACTATTTCTTATATTTCTAGGTGTTTCTACTATTCCCCGTATTTCTTGTATATTATTTTCATTATTTTTATCGTACAATTGTAATTTTGTTGTCATAGATCTGGTGACTCTAGTTTGTAATAATATATTGGAATTTTCTATTAATCCCTTTGTATTTGGTACTTTCCCTGTTCTTTTATTCTCTTGTTGAAATATATTATATTTTATAGTACTAGATATCTCAGAATATCCAGTACTATTCTGATAACTTTTGTTTTCCAAAACAACACCGCTATCCCTATCATCGATCTCATTTTCATACGTTAACTTTTTTGGCTTTAATCCGTTCCTATTCCATTGCTTTATTTTCTTTATAGGTGCTGTAGGTATCAATAATGGTTTTTTTATCATTGGTGTCTGTAATGGATTTTTAATTTCAACATTATTGTCTGTTTGAAGAATATAATTTTTTTGATCATATTGTAAAATAAAGACAATATCTATAATCTCTTTTTAATTGTATTAATTGCTTCTTAATAAATAATTTAATTATTGTTACATAATATATATTAACATAAGAAAAATTGATTAGAATTGAAAAGAAATGTTTAAATAAACTTTACTTACATGTGATAAAATATTCTATGTTTAAAGTATATATATAAAAGATTTTTTATGCAAAAATTTTTTCTTATATGTTTGATAGTTAGAGAAAGAGAGAAAGAGAGAGAGATACCTTTGGTAAATCCATTTCGGTAGAAGCAACATATGATTCTGTACAAATATTGGAACATTGTTCAGGAGGGTTTTCATTATCCCATGTTTGTGAAGTTGTAACGTCATAATAATGAAAAAGATTTCTTTTAGTATTAATATTGAAATTTTCCATACTCTGTTCTATGTCTTCAATAGAGTTATTAAGTAGAAAATTATTAGAGAAATTCATATTGGATTTAAATAAATTGAAAAATATTGAATTTTATATTGATTGGTTTTTTTTTATTGACAATTTGTAAAAGTTTTGATAATCTGTCTTTAAGATATTTTAAAATACTATTATAACATATTTGTAAAAAGTCGATAATTTAATGTCGAGAAACCCGCCACATTTAATACGGGGTTCGCACGTGATTGCACACGGTAACTAACAAGGATGATATTAGCCAATAAAAATGGACTATTAATGATTAAATTTGATCATTGATTCATTATTTAGATCAAACTAAAATCTAATTAATTTTCGTATGACAGATTATTTGATTTTTCAATAAAGTTTCATACAATTAAAATAAAAATATTTACGCTAGGATAGTTAATATTTTAATTTATAAGCTTCCATTTTAAATTTGCTATATAAATTATATATAGGCATGTAAACTGAGGGAAAAGAAATGCTGCATTAACGATTTTTGACCATTAGTTTTGTATTTCATAAATAAAAATACAAACGTATACATAATATATACGTGTATATATATATATATATATCTGTGTTGCTTTTTTATCAATAAAATATATTATATATTTAATATTATATAAATAATAATAATAATAATAATAGTTCACATAAAATTAAGTTGTTTCTGAACTATCATAGAATGACTATTTTGTTAGTGACGCGTCGCTCTTTTTTGATTGAATTCGGCTCGGTTGCCGAAGGTAACCGAAGGTGACTTCGGCTTTGCATCAGCTATTCGCATAGAAAATGGAGTTTGAGCGTAGCGAGCGAAGCAGCTATTTTCTACCGTCAATGGGCGCAGAGCAGTAGAAGTTGTGAGTCGGGTGTGCTTTCCTCTCTTCTTTTTACCTATTATCGATCAGCTAAACGTTTTCATGTTTGATTCTGGAAGACATTGCGATCGGAATTAATTAATAATAATTAAGAAGTATTGGAAGGTAAGTTATTAACCTGATACGATTATAAAGCGGCGAAATGCCGAACGAAAACTTCGGGATTAGTGATCATTCCGTTTACAGTGCGCACAAATTTCTTGTGCGCATGCGCAATCGCGGGAACGATAAATTTTATGTATATACTACGAAATTTGTTTTTTATTTATCAAGTTCAACCTATAAATTATTATACGTTGAAGTTAAAATAGTGATTTATATATATTTACATATGTATATATTTTGTTATTGTAAAATAATGAATTGAAATGTTTTTTCAATTTAATTTTATTCAATTAATTTGTCTGTATAGTGTATACAATAAAAATAATTTATGTATATATATATATTTATTTTCTATAATTCAGAATATTAGATTTGTTGTATATATATAAATAACTTTCATTTTTCTATTTTTTAGAATTATTTACTTGTATTAAAAATATCAGTGATATGATTCTTTTTTATATTCTATTTTGAGCGTTAATTTCAAGTTTTTAAAAATCTTTTATAATGGTTTTGTATTTGAAGTATTTAGATGATTATTTTTCTAACACTTTTTAAGTGATATTTTGTATTGATAATTTCTATTCATTCTTGTTTTTTGTTAGAACAATGTCTACTACTACTCAAGAAGATTGTTCTACGAAGGTGAACCAGATTAACAAGAAAGATAATGAAAAGTCTCGAAAGGTCTTCAGTTCTTCGCATAAGAAGCACAAGCATGAAGATAGCCGTCATTTTAAATTTGGAAGGAAGCGGTTGCAAAGTTTTACCAATAATACTAAATTTTTTCCACCATATAAACGTAGGAAGAAAGAAGGTGTTATCATACCACCGACTAAATTTCTCTTAGGTGGTAATATATGTGATCCGTTAAATTTAAATAGTATGCAAGATGAAGAAGTAAATAGAGCTATGAATGCAGTTACTCCAAAATCGAGTCCCTTACCAACACCGAAGCACAAAAAAGAAGTAATCGAAGTTTTAATTCCACCAAATATTTGTGATCCTCTTAATTTAAACAATTGTAATGATAATGAGGAATATGAAAAACAACTTATTTCTCCGACAAAAAAAGGCTCCAAACGGCGTAATAAAAAGCGAAAACGTGCATCTTCTGGTTCTGGAAAAGATGAAACGAAGGAAGTACAAGAATTGGAAATGAAAGATACAGAGATTATAAATTCTGTTGAATCGAATGGTAGTAGTGCTTCAGAAAGAATTATGTCATTGTCAGAAGATATCGTTTTTGATTCTCCTTCGGAAAGTCAAGTTAAAGACTGTAAATTGGAAAGTCCACAAAAGGATAAAGGTAAATTACGTTTAAAAGGACTGGAAGATTCTAAAGATAAACGATTAAGGAAGCTGGACGTAAAAGATAAAATTGTAAGTCCCGTTATTCCTCAACCTGGTGCATGGAAGCCTAGACCACAACATCGTCCTAGCCAAGATAAAAAGAAAAAACAACAATCGTTACCAAATTTTAAAGAAAAGGATGCCCGTTACCAGTATGGTAATTACAATAAATATTACGGATATCGTAATCCACATCATGTTGTGGATACAAGACTGACTGTATTTGCTCAACGTAAACATTTATTTTTTGGAAAAGACATTCTTGACATAGGCTGTAATATTGGACATATAACTTTATCAATTGCAAGAGATTTGTTAGCACGAAATGTGACAGGTATCGATATTGACAGAATGCTTATTAAAATTGCACGCAAGAATGTTAAACATTATGTGAACTGCGTTCAGTCACCTGCAAGCAATGAGGACAATGGAGAAGGGCAAAGAGATTCAGATACAAACTTTTTTCCTATGTCTATGCCAATTAATTATGGACCCATTGACATTCCTGGTTTTACTAAAAATAAAAATCATAGAGGCTTTCCTTATAACGTTAATTTTGTACAAGTAATATTAATTTTTAATTTGAATAGAGTATAAAATATAAAAAAGTAATTATATATATATATATATGTGTGTAATAATAATTTAAACATTTTATTACAGGGAAATTATGTATTAGAAGATGACGCCCTTTTATGTTTGGAACAACCTCAGTTTGATACAATTTTGTGCTTATCTATTACTAAATGGATACATTTAAATTATGGAGACGCTGGATTAAAGCGAGCTTTCAAACGTATGTATGCCCAATTACGTCCAGGTGGTGTATTGGTATTGGAACCACAAGGATGGGCTAGTTATGGTAGGAAAAAGAATCTCACGGTATGCATTTTTTATTTTTATTTTCATTTTATTTTCATTTTATTTTTATGTTTTTAGGGTTTTTTTTTTCATATACTCGTATTTAATTTTATTCATTAAAATAATTTTTTCGTTTGTTTCAGGAACGAATATATAAAAATTATCAGAGCATCGAATTCTTTCCTAACAAGTTCACACAGTATTTACTTTCTCCCGAAGTAGGCTTTAGTAAATGCGAAGTTGTATCTATTCCCCCTCACCCATCAAAAGGATTTCAAAGACCTATTCAATTATTCACCAAAGTTGCCTCTATTATAGAAATCACGGAGAATTTGGAAACTGTAAATACTTCAGTATCGAACGAGTCTTCTGAAAATACTCAAGTACGAAATGAAAGGAGAGATCAAAAACAAAAGGATTTAGAACGCAGACAATATGAACGGGAGCTTTTTCCAAAAGATAAAGAAGGCAATATGTCAGAAATTAGTCAACAAAGTGGGGAGTCAATAAATCAATACGATCAATTAGAAAATGTTTATGCGCCTAGTGCTACACCGTGTTATGATACACCTGGTCATAATAATGACAGCAGTCAATCTATGGAAGTGTCAAAAATGTGTTATGTTGATGTAAGTATTGAACATCATAAAATCGACGTTGAGATGCAAGATGTTAATAACAAACAGACAAAAGAATCTGTATCCCAAACATCATCATCCCTTAATAAATCTAATGTTGAGCCTACTGTAAAAGAAATTCAAAAAGTTGTAGAATGTTCAGATAAGAAAGATGACCCGATGATCAATAAAAAAGTTGGAATTAAACGATTGGCCGATGATAAAACAGTAATCAATGAGGATAGTAAGAAATTAAAAATGACATCAAGAACTGATGAAAATATAAACAAGACATGCAAAGAACAGGTTAATTCAATACAAAGTAAAAGTATTATCAAAGACAAGCATACTATTGAGAAAATTAATTTTAGGAGTTTAGAGAAAATTAATAAAGCATGCAGACAGTCCGTACAATCTTTCAAAAAGTCATTCCAAGATTTGGATGGTGTTCAACTCTTGAGCAATATATTGAACAATGAGGGATCCTCAGAAACATCATTATCGAGTAAATCTGATTTTCATCAAGATAAAGGAGGTGTTACAACTAAAGGTGTTAATGATAAATCAGCAAATGATAATCAGCAGGTACGGGCAAGTCCGTAAACTTGTTCACAAGAAATAATCGTATGAATGTTAGTTGAACAAGAAGATATGAATCATTATTAATTTTAGTTGATTAAATTAATGTACAAAGTGAGTGATCTTTCTCCAGGCAAATAATAGTTCGTAAATTATTCATGCACTCTTGGTCAGTTATCTTTCCTAGATTATTTTTTGTTTTTATTTTCTTTTCTTCCACTTTTTGTAGATAAACCAATGATAACTGAAATACTTTTTAACAGTTTTGAAGTTTAATCATTGTTCTACGAAGCATTCTTTGGTTGTTGTACGTTAGACGATTCACGCATTATTAAATCGTGAAATAAGTTGTCAAATGTTAAGTTGTTAAAGCTATTAAATGAAAAATTTCTTTATACAAATTAAAACTTTTTTCTTTAAATTATTTTTATTTACATTAATATATACTATTGGATTATACAGAAAACAAATCTATATTTTAGTATAAGAAGACTAATTTTTTCTCTCTTTTTATTTTATAATTTTATTATCGTAAATTAAAACGTACGAACAACACACATTTTGATCATAAGAAACTCAAACCATACACTTTTTATTATAGTCATCAAAATTAATATCTTTTTTGCTTTTCATTTTTTCTGTCTCTCTTTGTCTCTATGTCTCTATTTTTCTCTCTATTTTGTTTGTGTTATATATTTGTGTAAAAATAAAGAAACAAAAGATAAAAAAATTAAATACAAAATTATACAAAATAATATAAAACAATGTATATATATATATANTATACAAAATAATATAAAACAATGTATATATATATATATATAATATATATACACATTGTTAATTATATATACATATATAATTTATTTATTATTATAAAATATTTGTTAAAAAACATTTTTTTGGACTATATCAAAAAAGAGATTAGTTTAATACAAATTTAAATCTGATAATGAAATCACACACACACACGTGCGCGCGCGCGTATACGTGTATGTATGTATTATTCGTGATGAAGTGTATATTATTGGCTGTGTCTGTAGAATAATAATAATAATAACAATAATAATGACAGGAAAAAGTATATAATTAAATTCTAAGTACGTGCCTGAAATATATTTAAAATAATATTTAGTTATATTATCGTCGTCATCATCGTCATTATCATCATCATCATTGTCATCATGAACAGCATCATCATTGTCATTATCATCTCAAGGGCACGATTCAGATATCCATGTATATTGAAATTAGACTCTTTGCGAAAGACTGATTATTAATTTTGGAATTTACCATGTCTTTCAATGTAGGAAAATTTAAAAATGTAGATAAGAGATAATCTCAAGATATAGATTTTTATTATTGTACTCATGTGATTAATTCTGACCTATAATTCTAATTTCTTCCTAAACCTTAATCTAGAAATTGATTAGAGACCCGATAAAACTAAATAATAATAAATACTTATATATATATATAATACACGGACACACACACATATATGTGTAAATAAAATTAATTAATTAATTAAATTATATATTTCCTTTTTTTTCTAAAATTTATAATAATTATATAATATATTAAAAAGAATACATGAGGCTCATATAAGAGGATTATTTATTTTTAAAATCGCATTTTTTGAAACTTGCAGATCGAAGAAATTGTCTTTATATATATATACAAATGTTCATGAAATAATTCAAATATTATTATATCTTAGCGGAAATTATTTGTTGCCTAGTATTACTCATATTTGTTTTAGATAATACCAAAGTAGCAGACACTGTAACTTGGATATATCTCAAATTGGAGATCAACTTGGAAATAATAATCCCATATACGAATACAAAAATTAAGGATACTCTCATCTCAGATTTGTATTCTTCTACTATTTTGAGAAAGACAATATGAAGAATCAATTAATCGGAATATAAAAGATGAAGAATCATGACAAATTTTGTTCTAGAATTTAAAAAAAAACATGGATCAGCTTGGATTCGCAGTGGCTTTACAATGATAAAATTTTTCAGTGTGATCAAACTTATTGTTCCCCATGTGTCTTATTTATTTATTATATTTACAATTAGAATAATTAATTAAAAGTCTTTTACGCATTTCTTCAATTAATTACTATTTTATAAAATTGTCAAAGGAGAAAGAAAGCTCTTGTAGCAACATTGTTTCTATCATGTTGGTTATATATATAAATACATAATCTATCTTGGTATATATATAAGAATATTAGAAAAAAATTGATAATATATAAAATTATTCGTTATTGCAAATTGGTTTTAAAATAGAATTAAGAAAAGAGTATGAATGAACGACAAAGGAAAATAAAAGAAATAGGAACGCGGCGAATAGGTATATAAGTTATTTGAAATATCTTGTACCACATAGGTAGATATTTATTTCTGCTTCTTATCTAGTCTGTCTAATTAGCAATACTCTGAGACAATGAGCTGTATATGTATTATATATAAGATGCTAAAATTTTTCTTGTTACACTATTTTCTTTATATTCCTTTTTTTGTTGATTGTAATACTTTGTGTAAAACATATTAAATGTATTTTAAGTGAATGAAAAAAGAAATAATTATAAGAAGAATATATGTTTCAAGGAATATTTTCCTAGAAACGATAAAATTCTCACATTATGAGAAAATAATATAGCTTGCGATGGAAATATTTACTATAAATAAAATTTAACATAAGTCCTTTAATTAATGATATTTAATATCATTATAAAGAGACAAGTTTACATATAAGCGTGGAGTGTATATATTACATAGATTCAAATGTAAACAAATACAAATACATAATGAGTTTAATCATTATGTATGAATAGTGTTATTTAAAATAGAACACGACGAGAAGAATTAGCACAAATCAATTTCGCGAATTATGCACTTTTACAAACATGTTAATTTTTAGTGCAGTATACATATACATATACTAAGTATAGTATAATCTCTAATGTTTGTTAAGAAATACACACAAGAAAACAAAAAAGAAGAAAATACATAATATATATGAAGAATAAGAAAAGATAAGGAATAAAAACGTCGCTTTTAATTATTTCTTATGTTCTTATTTTTACGATCATACACTTTGTACTTTTATAAAAAGAAAAGAAAAAAGAACATGAACAGAAATTAGATATAATATACACGTTAGATTCAACATATACAGTTTATATATTTCGTGACATATTAGGATACATATTTCTGTTTACATTTTTCTATGAATCAATTTTAATTGTTCACGATTCTTTTTCTTTATTTATATTTTTTAATTCTTTTCTTTTCTTTTACACGGGCAGTGCCCAAAAATACGAAATTGATAAGTTTCAATTTAATACAATTACATACACAGATTTGATATTTATCTTGTACATGAATACATACATACATGATTTCGCCATCAGTGTCATCAATTATCATTAGAAATGTTAGAATCTTTGATATATATATTATTAAATTATTGTTTTTATCGATTCTATCGACAATATAAATTAGACACTTGTTATTCTTAATATCATTATGAATAATAATTATTATTATTAACAATAACAAGATGATTATGATCATCCTGTGATATCTAGCCAATAAATTTGATTAAGTTTATTAAATCTTTCACATAAATTTTATTATTATTATTACAATTATTATAATATTATTATTTTGCCGAATAAGAAGTTCTCTAATTCTTATTACACGAATTTAACTATTTTTTTTTTTGCAAATCGTTACTTAAAATACAAATTTTTTTTGCTTTTCATAAATAATTTTAAAGTTTAGAATTTCTTCATCATTATTTATCTCGTCACACGTATAATATTTTATACGCAGATACAATATTTTGTTAAAATACAAATTTCATTTTCTCTACATAGACCATTTTAAAGTTTAAAGTCTCCTCGTTATTATATTTAATCTCATCGTGCATACTTTACACATTGATACAATTTTTTAAACGAATTTTCTTTTTCTTTTTCATGGATCACTTTAGATTTAAGAATTTCTTTATCTCTAGATAGAATTCAAATAGATATTTCACATCGTGCATGATATTTTACACAGATAAAAGTTTTATTTTTTAATTTTTGGTATTAATTGTGATATTTTTTCAAACTATTTTTTATGTGTGTGGCTCATAGCACAAGCACTTTCAATTTATACGTAACTTAATAAAATCTCAAATTCGATGCCTTGGCAGTGAGGATTTCGAGCGATGCTTACAAGCGATGATAATATACGTATGCGAAAAAATTGACGTGTTTTTTATTTATTATATTTTTGGTTGTTAAATTATGTACATACGCATATATATATATATACTATATATGTGTTTTATTATATTTTCGTGAAAATTTGTAGGAGATAGGGGGGGGGGCGTTTCAAAATCGGGTAAAAGGAGAACGCATGTTGACCAGCAACAATTTTTTCCTAATATATAATCTTCATAAAACTCCATTGTTCTCACTCTCTTTCTACCTTTGTAGTAATGAATAACAGAGAAATGTTTTAGAAATAATTTTTCCGGGTACAAAGAGCGCGGCGACACATTATCATCATCATTATCATCTTCATCATCATCATCATCATTATGCAATGTACGTACGAGCGTGGTGCGTGCACATTTTATTATTATTATTATTATTATTTTGTTTCTCTATTATTATTTTATCACACACATTATTAATATTATTAATAATATTATACCTAACGTTGTCGCGTGTCAAATATTTCTAAGAAAATTTTGTTTGTTCGGGTGATGGGGGCTACAGGAAGAAAGTAAATCTGGGCGCCAGCACCCTGATTTTTCTTCTGTGCGCTAATGCGCTTTTTAACGCGCAAATATTTGGCTAAAACGGTACATTTATGTATATGTATATGTAGGGAATACGCATGTAATATGTATATATCTATAATATGTAAATATGTAATATAACAAATATATATGTATGTGTGTAAGTATGTATGTATATTTGTAATGCCTTTATTTCCTAATATTCTTTATATGAAGAGAAAAAATTCACTCCATAACAAGAATACACAAATTTAATAATGTTCACGGGAAAAGTATTAATTATTATTATTACATTATTTAACTGTGTTTCATTGTTAATTCTTGTTTATCCTCTGCTGTGTTTTTGTGTGTGTATATGTGTGTTTTACGATGGATATAGAAAAAGATTGAACACTGAGTCAAGTGGTTCGTAAGTACGTGTTAAGTAGTTCGGTATTCTAATAATGGACGTACGAGTTTACCAAAAGTGATTTTTAAATGAAAAAAAGAAGATGAAATATCTAAAAAAGTAGGCAAAAAATCTTCTGTCTTTCAATTATTTAGAATTTATCTGTCCTCTGACATTTATTATCACGCATGCGTGTTGCGTAATTATGCTCTAATTATTTATATATATATATATATTTTGTGTATTTCCTTATTATTCATCAACTAATTCCCAAAGCATAAGGGCAGCATCGGTTCCACCAACGGTAACAATATTTCGATCATTGTACAAAAATCTAGCACAAGCTACCAACGAACTGTAGACTTTTTCTTCAACGTACTCTGCTTTTGCGCTGGTGCATGGATATCTAAAAAGTCTTAAGTAACCTTCGGCATCTCCGCTCACAAGCATATCGTGCGCCGCTGATCTACAGGCTGTGGTTAAAACCGTTGTCAATGGGTAATAACGATTATTCCACATACCTGTCGGCAAAAAGAATTTTTAATCAAATTAAACAATTTTAAAGAATCACAAAGAATTCGCAATGCAAAAGCGTCTTTTGACAAAGTCAGGAACAGAAGAATTTGTACGGATTTTTCTGAAGCATTGAACATAATACTTAGGCATTCTATAGAACACCAAATGCTACTTAGGCAATATTGACAAGAATCCATTATCGGGTAACAGGCACACACAAACATACGCCCCTCCTCACAAACAACCCACATCCCGCTCCCACACAATGCTGGTGTGCTATAAAAGACGCTTTGCATTGCGGACAATGCCGGGGTATTGCTAGCATTGCCGGGTTATACATTCAATCCTTCTATAACACGATTAATTTTTTCCGCGTTATTTCGAAATCGTGTTAAGCGAAGTAATACAAATTGGAGAAATAAAATTTGTGCAATATGAGGATTGTTCTAGTTTATAAAGTCGTTCTATATAGAAAACGTACTTTAAGAATATCAAGAGGACTATAAGAGTAATTGATTTTTTATAAAACTACCTACAAAATAATTAGTCCATTTTGTATAATTTTGTATATAAGGAAAGAGAAATAATTAAGATTATATGTTACAAATAATTACCTGAGACCATGTATCCTACTGTACAATTGTATGTATGCCATTTAACATCTTTCATAACTAATGGGCTTTTTTCAGATGAAAGTGCTTTTACATCCCCTATATAGAAACATATATACGCAAACATACACATTATAAATAATCGAAGAATGTATACTAATATTTTTAAATTGAAGAAATAACTTACAAAAAACAAGATCATAGTCCTGCGTCACCGTTTGTAAAAATCTGTTATCAGAACTCCAGTCGAGTTGAACCAAAGGTTGTGTTCCACGTATTTTATTACTTTTTTTATAAGAAAAACCATCTCTTGATACTCGGAAGAGATATACGCTACCATTTTGTGAGCCCATCGCAACGATTTCAGCGGCTTTTGCAGAATAATAATTATCAACCGTTAAGAAAAATAAACAACTTATCTTAGCGTGAACATAATTCAATAAAAGAAAACGTTTCATACTTGGATTATATCCAATACATGATAAAGGTGACCCACAAACTCTTAGAGTTGCTACAGCAGCACCAGTATCAGCTGCTAATACAAGTAAATGTCCATCAGATGAACCAGCAGCCAAGGCTACACCAAATGGATGAAATGCTATGCAAATGCATTCAAAACCAACCTGAAAATATGGATATATTTTGAAGAGACAATTTTAATAGTAAACATCTGTTAATGGTAACTGTAATAAGAATATTACTTGAGTTGTCCATAATAATTTATGTCTTCGCCAAAGTGCAATATTTTTATCATGACCTGCCGTGGCAAAAACTTCATCATCCGGATGCACTGCAAGGCCCCACAATTGTCTACCATGTCCAAAAACCACTTGATTGAATCTTCTTTGCAAGGATCCCTCTAATATTATATTTCTTGTCGTTCCAACGTAAATATTGCCATCGTTTCTTCCTGGACGTTGAGGATAAATACTACGAACTCCTCCGGCAGATTCCGGTAACTTCATTCACAGATAACAGAATATAAACAGTTATATATTTATTAGAAATAAGTGTTATTCGCGTTTAATAATTTATTAACTTTAGTATTAAGCTTACTTTCGTATCGGTAATGCGTTTATAATTTTGTAGAGAATCCCAAGCCGCAATTTTGCGATCTTTTTCACCACCGGATAGTAGTGTACCTTCGGACAACATTACCAAAGAACTAATACCTTTGTTATGAGCTTCGAATTCCATTCTAACAAAGTAAGCACCATCTGCATCGACCGAATATACCGTAATAAATCCATCGCTATCAGCAGTAATAACGTCACCGTCTTGTTCGAATTGAATACTCGTCACGTGTGTACGCGATGGCTTAAAAAATATCAGTGAATTTTCAGTTTTAAATATTTTTGAGAGGAATTTGGAAGACTTGTTTAATAAAGAGTTTTTGACTATTGTCTTACAGGTTTAATTATGTCAGTCCGTTCAAAGAAACCGTCTTTTCGTCGATTCCAAAATGTTAAATGTCCACGTCCATGCGTTATCAATAAATTATCATCCAATGGATGAAACGCTGCACCTGTTAAATCTTCTTGCATGGTCTATTAAAAATAAATAATATTTTATAGTAATAATAATAATAACAAAAAACAAAAAATAATAATTACAGTTATATTGTTATAATAAAAAGAATATTTGTCTATAGTTACTGTAATAATAAGAATAAAAATATTACGTATAAGTACTACGAAGTATTAATAAAATTACGAGACTAAAATTTTAATATTGAGGATGGATATTATTT